CTGAAAGAGGTACATATATTGTCAGTCTAAACGTGCGGGAATTTACCACCACTTTGCGGATTTAACTATTATATACTATATTAGCTATACCGGTCCGCTTCGCTGGGCATTTAAATTTGACATTATTATTTCTCACCCCCACGAAGATTCTCATCATTAACGCCCCCCGCAACTGGTGTAGGGAGTCCGACACTCATATAAATATTAGCCTATCCATTAAGTACATGTATTTTCTACATGGATACCAAGTTTCAAGTCAATCGGATGCATGGTTCAGTAGTTATAACGGAACATCCGTATAAACCACTGTAGATTTATATATTAGTATAGATAGTATATCGTTATTTTGTTGCACTTGACCTCAAGTTTCAATGGGTAGTTCCTTAAAAACGTGAAGTCGTTTGCATTTAATAAAATGTCTTGACGAATCATTGAAAAAAGTAAGTAAAATGTCTACTGCATTCAGACAGACGGGTCGAAATTGTAAGTTTTATTTGTTTCGATATACAATAGTTTATTTGTACCGTTGGAAATGGCGTAATACATTCTTATTTAATTCCGAGTTTAAGGCACTCAGAATTTAATGAGAATGTTTCAACATTTCGCATTACCCGAGCCGGAGTTACGCATCCCTAATCTATGAATAAATGCCTGAAAGGTCGACATCTTTCAAACATCTCTCCCAGGGAACATCCACAGCGCATACTTTTGCCGCCTTTGGCATAATCGGGATGCCTCGCTGCAAATATCTTGAATTTATGCTTTGTACAACGCAAGATTTTATATTGTCGTTATATGCGTATGTATGTGACGAACCTTGATGTGAAAGCTTCAAATATTTAGAGGCTAGCTTTTGCCCGCGACTCCGTTCGCGTGGAATAGTTACTTTGGCATAACGCTAAATTTTACCCCCCCCACTTCAATTACGTAGAAAGTGAAGATATTTTTGAATTATAGAATACTAAGGAGCTATTTGAACCCCTATTTTGAAACCATCTTTATTGGTGCTCCACTTGTATTGGTCTTAGCGTGATGTTATATAGCCTACAGCCTTACTCAATAAATGGGCTATCTAACACTGAAAGAATTTCTCAAATCGGATCAGTATCTAGTTCCTGAGATTAGCGCGTTCAAACAAACAAACTCTTCAGCTTTATAATATTAGTATAGATTAATTTTATATTCATTTATTTAGCTTGCCTAGTTTAGTGTCGCGTGGCACATAAGCGAGCATCAAACTAATTACGAGATTGATATATGAAATTGTACTTTCTTATCTCGTGTGCTTGAATCAATCAGCGAGACAAGACTACATCAGTGTACAATAACGTACACAGCTGATTGTTCTGATTGAGTGGCTGCCTCTCGACTGATAATTGACTCGAGTGGGTAGTTCATTGAGGTGCGTAGATATGTATAAGTACATGTTTGGAAACTATGAATGTGTTAGATCTAATACGTAGATAGGTGATGGAAAACAATATGATATTCAACATTTGTTATTTGATTGAGACGTTTTGCCCTACTTTTTACTGGTGGTAGGAACTCTTGTGAGTCCGCACGGGTAGGTATTACCGCCCTGCCTATTTCTGCCGTGAAGCGTAATGCGTTTTGGTTTGAAGGGTGGGGCAGCCGTTGTAACTATCACGCCGGGGCCACCACTGTACGGTTGCTGGTGCAATGTAAAGGATGTAAGCTGCCCTTTATTAATAAAACAAGTTAGTTCCGATTTAACTATGTATATTGTCAGAGGTGTCTGACGTGTCGGGTGGGCTATGTACGACTGACTAATGCAAGCAATGTACAAAATGCATACGCTACTAAACTGTGTCCCTACATATACTGTGACCTTAGAACTCATATCTCAAGGTGGGAGGCGCATTTACGTTGTAGATGTCTATAGGCTCCGGTACCCATTTAACACCAGGTGGGCTGTGAGCTCATCTACCCATATATGCAAAAAAAAAGCAATGAAGTAACAATTCGAAGTAACATTACTATGAACTAGATCTTGAACTATGGCTCCATCCACTAAAGTCATCTAGGTCGTTATATCTTCCACCTAACTATGTCTATAAAACTAATTAAACATCGAATTACAAAGTAATTATCTCTATGAATTAGATTATTGTTTGTAACAAATTTTTTCGAGTATTATCGAATCACCGTTAAACGTGTTACGGCCGATTTTGTGCTATTTAATGCCAATAATCTTTTACCGGTACACGAACGTCGGTCCGTCACACCGAGCGCCTTAATAATGCACGTGAATAAATTTATTATACTCTCTTTTACTTTGAGTTAAACATTTTGAAATAATGAAAAAATATTTCTGCCGTGAAGCAGTAATGCGTTTCGGTTTGAAGGGTGGGGCAACCGTTGCAACTATCCTGGGACCTTAGAACTTATATCTCCAGGTGGATGGCGCATTTACATCCAGGGTCCACTAGTATTAAATAGTTAGTTATATTAGTAGTTAATTTATTGTTGATTATGTTTTTATTTATTCCATAAATGGGTTAACGAGCTCACAGCCCACCTGGTGTGAAGTGGTTACTGGAGCCCATAGACATCTACAACCAAATGCGCTACCCACCTTGAGATATAAGCTCTAAGGTCTCAGTATAGTTACAACGGCTGCCCCACGCTTCAAACCGAAACGCATTACTGCTTCACGGCAGAAATAGGCAGGGTGGTGATATCTACCCGTGCGGACTCACAAGAGTTCCTACCACCAGTAATTACGCAAATTATAATTTTTCGGATTTGACTTTTATTACACGATGTTATTCTTTCACCGTGGAAGTCAATCGTGAACACATTTGTAGAGTACGTATTTCATTAGAAAAATTGGTACCCGCCTGAGATTCGAACACCGTTGCATCGCTAGATACGAATGCACCGGACGTCTTATCGTTTAGGCCACGACGACTTACATCTAACATTTTTCGTTCCAAAAATTTGAATTAACTTTCAGGAATATTTTAACTAAACGCAAACGGTGTGATACGAGGACAGACGCTGAAGCCAATATTCGAAGTAATAAATAACTTTAATGGATCGATTCAGAGAGCCGCAGACTGTTAACATATTTTCAGCGACTTTTTTAAAGTCCCATGTGCATGCGGAGAGCGCTGATAATGGCCTCGTGCAAATGTTTATTTAAAAATGTATGTTTCTACGTACCGCTGTTTATTTTGTCAGGTTTTTATTCGATTACTTAGGTATTGATCGCGACCCGTATATTGACGTGACAACGTCTTATAATTCGATGGAACCGGCTGCACGCACGAAAAAACATGACTCATGCGGCGTTACCTCGCTCTGAGGGGTTCCATTTAAGGCTTAAAGTGCAAGCGAGAGCGCGCAACGAGCGACAAAGAGGCACAATCGGCCTCCGCGTTCGGCAGCGTTCGACATCTGTCTCTCTTCTACTTGAGTGAGCGATGCATCCGCTATACAATAACACATTTACATGTTTTCGTCAAGTATGAAGTTCAGTGAAAAGTGAATGTGGTGTCAATTGTCCATACAAAATATCTATCAAACAAATAAAATTAAAATTTTCTTTTGAAAAATGAAACCATTCCATCAGTATTTTCTTATGACGTTGTCACGTTCAACTATCGTCAGTAAACCGACTTTACAGACAACCGATTTTTTGTGACATATACCTTAGTACACTCACTTTCAACCCACGTGAAACTCCAACCGCTAGTAAGTTGGCACGGATTCGTAGAAATTAACTACAGCGTACCCATAAAATTATTACACGCAACACAATAATCACATTTTGAAACCGCCCGCCATCGCATAACCGGATAACCGGTCGGTTGCCAGAAGCCGGTACGGTCTGGCATTAATTGCCAGAGTTAGCGAATCGCTGGCGGGCCGGTCTAAACCTATTATGGGCGGTTTCCGAGCGAATTCACAACCGGTTAATGATTATGTGTCAATGTGGTGTGAATTAGAAGTGGGCGTTACTTATTTAATGGAGCCTCGTTATTAATTATTGTAAGTTAGTGTTATTAAGTTACAATAGATTGATTAATTTAAACTAGAGGTCCCGCAGTAGTCGAAATTCGACTATAATTAATTGGAATTGTAAGTCTGTAGACTATTATGATTGTATTTTATACTTCTATAATCACAAATTTCGCCAAGATTACACTATAAAAATATTAACAAAGACAAACAATATTTAATCTATTCTCAATTTGACAACAGACGTCAAGAACAAAAGTTTGACAATAAATAGTATGCATGCGTGTGTGCGTCAAATACATGGTATGTAGTGTGTGTAATGATTTCTTTATTGATTTAATGTATCTTTTATGCATTATTTCAAAAAAATATTACATAGCATTGTGCACTTCTTCTCTATATTCTCTATAAGTGTGGAAAATTTCATACTTCTCCATCCGCGCAATTTTCGTAAAAAGGGATACAAAGTTTTTGCTTCACGTATTAATATATACCTATAGATGCCGCCGCATTAAGCAGAGTGTTCAATGTTAGATCCCTCAAGATTTACTGAATGGGGCAACAGTGGAGAAATGTACGTAGGAATTTTGAAGGGTAGAAAGTATTAGAATCTAACGAGTGAATAGGTTGGAGCCCTATAACTTGCAGCTCACTCAGAAGGGAAACGGGTGTCATCATCATCATCATCATCATCATCATCAGCCTTTATCTGCCCACTGCTGGACATAGGCCTTCCCCAATGCCTTCCACATAATGCGGTCCTCCGCCTTCCGCATCCACCGACTTCCCGCCGTGCGCACTAAGTCGTCACGGTGTAGCTAAAATCAATTTCGCTCTCACACTGTGGATAATAATGGGTTGCAGTTTGAAAGATAGGATAGTTTTATTATTATTTTACAGAATTGATTTAGATAATTATGTATTTGATTGTGATTTGATTGTGATGTTTGATTTTTATATAGAGGTATTGACAGATTGAAAATAAAATAATATCAAAATTGAACAGTCCAACCAACCTGATAGCCATACTCTTCGCTTTCAAGTGATGCCATCTCTGGTTCATCTCATCCAGTCTCCTCTGCAGCATGACAGCGTCTTCCTGAGAAGACAGGCTGCCCAGGAGACGCCGGCCAGTTCCAGTGAGCGATGCGTATACATTCCTGTGTGTCTCGATCTCCGATTGCAGATCCTGGAAATAATTGAGTATATTTAGTTATAACGTTTTTGACGTGACAACGTGTTCTAATTCGATGGAGCCGGCTGCACGCACGAAAAAACATGACTCAGGTAACGCTCGTCAATTGTTTATAGCAACGATAATTGCGGCGATAAAGGTAATGATTCTTTCGATATTAAATATATGTTCAGTGATATATTGTCGAATATTCGTGCTTTCATCATTAAAATAAATAGCATCGGTCCGCTAGTGCAGCGATTGTAGGTTATGCTATAATTGACAAAACTTTAACAATAAGTTAACAGAACTATTTCACGATGAGTAAAAAACCATTCCATCAGTATTTTCTTATGACGTAGTCACGTTCAACTATCGTCAGTAAACCGACTTTACAGACAACCGATTTTTGTAATCTAGGCTTTTTGCCAACGTGATCACCGCGATGTTACGTTATGACCGTTCTAAAGTTGAATTTTGGTGTTTTAATAACAAAAGCAAATTGTATCTCTTTGAGTTCACAAAATAAGTTAACTTTTAGCGTAAAGGCGAAATACTACACTTTTTTATATTCTATTATCAACGTATGTTAAGTTTTTGTTTAACATTTCAGAGCCTATAGAATCAATCCGAAGCTATTTATTAAAAGAAAAAGGATTAGAATTTTTGCTTATCTTTTGGCTAAAGAAATCACGTCCAATAACTACAATCGTTTATCAACAAGAATCCTTAATATGCTTGACTCGTATAAACGTGAAAAATTGACAAACAAAATTCGCGTGAGTAAAAATTTCGTACAGCGATTGTAAGCGAGCAATTTCTTCGGACCCTGGGAGACTGGTGACAAATGAAAGGCTTTTGTACGAAGAATGCCTCAAACTGGACTCGTACTCTCTCAGAAATATATATTTCGAATTGTGTCCATATTTTACTGTAACGTTGTCTTTGTCTCTTCATTGTTATTTTTCTCGTGTGATCTTTCAAGTAAATGAATCTTTGAAAATTAAGCTTCGATTTTCTGAAAGGTACGATTTGTCTTTTTGATTAAGGTTATAGTTTGTTATGAAAGTAGATAATGGTTTTTATATATGAACAAAATACTTATTAGCCTTGCGTTGCCTGCTTTTCGCTACTTGGGAATACCGGTTAGCCAGTATCAAAAACGTTTTTTTTTTTTATTGCTTTTATTGTATAGTTGTATTGTTGTATAGTTGAATGATATTGGGGTCTATAATGTATCTATATTCAAACTAGAAACTTGTATGTTAGTGACAACTTATTCTAACTCATATCTCTGTCCTTGACTAACAAATGAATAAATCTTTCAATCAATACAATAAAGTGAAGATTTAGATCTCATGTCTTAAGGTGGTTGGCGTTGTTTCCTTTGTGATGTTTCTGAACTCCGAACATCACTGAACATTAGATCAGCCGGTCTCTATGTCAACAGCAAATAATAAACTCTGGATAGACAGCGGCTCTGCCCCTGGCATTGCTGACATCCATGAATGACGGTAACCACTCACCATCAGATGGGCCGTATGAACATCTGACTACAAAGACGATAAAAAAAAGTTATAAAAATTAATATTAATATTTTATACCCATATCTATACTAAAAATGTATTTCAATCCCAATAAAATATTATCATGATATAATCTTATGGTTAAATCAATAACCCTAAAACCAAAGAACCGGTTGTTTACATTTAGCTGTAAATGTTTAGTTAACAGATCGCTCGAGGCAACGGTTATCTCCTGGTTTCAACCGGATTAGTTGCGAAACTAACCGGGCGTGTTTACTTGTATCGATGTTATCCGGTACGAAGATGTGGTTACGTTAAGTTTTATCTCGTGTTGTGTTGTTAAAATTTACTTTCAATATACGAGTATAAGACATAATTTTCATTTGTTCATGAATAAGTTATTAGATTTATTAAAGAATATTAAATGTTTTTTGTCACATTAAATGTAAGTATCATCAAAAATAATTATGTATTTTTTATACAAAAGCAAAGCAATATTCTTCAATTAAGGTGGAAAAGTGATTCGTTCACTTTTAGTATTTTATTTGTAATGAAAGTTTGACGTGGGCAACACCACAAAATTTATTCTGACAAAATATTCCGTGACCTGATCACCGCTTGCTATCATCCAATGATGCAGGTTTGTTGCATACGGTGATAGCACGCGGTGATAGTTTGTTCAGATATTATTCACAAGATATAGGTATCCGACTCCAAATTCCAGGACAACACAACAAATACAACTCCCTTCTTATATTTCTGTTACTCGCAATACTTTATCTCCTCTCAATTATTTTAAATAGGATATGTCGTCCCACGCGTCGACAGGGATAACCGTTTTTCCAATGCCAATGATTTAGATCATACTTCTAAGTGTATAAGGCTCTAGCAAAATCTTCTATTTAAGTAAGTAAACCTAGTAGAAACATTATAAAGCGGGAACATTTAGAGTTATAATTTAACAATTTTAAACACAGTAATCTTAATGAGAAAATGTACGGTGCACAAACTTGTTTAATAATATGCGGGCCTTCACTTTTAGGCTTGTATCGCCCGTGTGGTCGGGGCTTATAGTAATGTTATTTCATATCGATAATCCTTTAAATACTCGTATTACGTTTTCATAACATTTTCAAATGACATGATGCAAAATTTCGTCTTAAAACTTTCGACTATTGTGAGCAAGCAGTGTCTAAAATAAACAATTAAAATACATAGCGTTACAGCCTAGTTCTATTAAGCTACCTTAAGCTCTCCCAGCTTACTCATTGTTAACAATTCAAAAACGATACTATTAAAAACAGAATTTGAATCCATAACGCAAATATTAGCGTTCAAAAGTCGAGGCATCATCGATCAAGTTTCAAAGCTTGAAATACAAACATCGATAAATCTTCCCAGCACTAGAGCCGTCCGGAATTATTGATGTTGTTTACTTTAGCTATCGGCACACGCGCAAAAACACCCTTTAATAATATTAAGGGTGCATTATAATAGGGTTCGATAAGAGCCTTGTGTTACGCCCTTTATAATTTCAAGGGTGGTTTGGGGAGATCAAAATGGAAGTAGGAATGTTTTTAGTGTGCGTAATTGCACGAGCGTTTCTTATGTATGTTATAAGTTTGGGAAATGGAACAGTTGTCAGCTTTTCTCCTCACGTAAGAATAACAGAAAAGGAATAGATCTCCCTAAATTCAGGGATTCGGGACAAAGAAATTGTCCTTCTCCACCAGAAGTTGGGACAGTTCATTACGGCCTACACCAGTAAAACTTTAATGTAGCGTAATTAAACCTTGAAATTCTCTCAAAATCTGTCACCCGGAGCTTAAAGAGTTTAAATTTGAACCAACCGTTAAGAAACTTTAAAGTTTGAAACTTAAGTGTTCGCCCTTTCTCTGACCGAAACGCGTTAATGTACGTTTATAAGTTTAAATACACCATTATACATTACGGAGTTGGATCAGGGAATCGTTACAAACTTAATTTAGACGTAGCGGCCATTGTATTTTATTTGTTGCTAGATAATCGAGAACATTCGAAGATTTAAAGCGTGAATTTGGGAGCGCAGCTCGTTTTTAGATTCTGAGAATTGACCTGTTTAACTACATTCTTATTATGCGAATTCACTTTTTTATATTATTATGATCGAGTGAAATTTTGAATATTCTTCTTGATTTTTTTATTTATTGCTTATTTGAGTGGACGAGCTCACAGCCCACCTGGTGTTCAGTGATTACTGGAGCACATAGACATCTACAACGTAAATGCGTCACCCACCTTGAGATATAAGTTCTAAGGTCTCAGGTATAGTTACAACGGCTACCCCACTCTTCAAACCGAAACGCATTACTGCTTCACGGCAGAAATAGGCAGGGTCACAAGAGGTCCTACCACCAGTAATTACGTAAATTATAATTTTGCGGGTTTGATTTTTTCTACACGATGTTATTCCTTCACCGTGGAAGTCAATCGTGAACATTTGTTGAGTACGTATTTCATTAGAAAAATTGGTACCCGCCTGGGATTCGACCACCGGTGCATCGTCAGATAAGAAATGCACCGGACGTCTTATCCTTTAGGCCACGACGACTTACAAGAACTTAACATTATTAATAAACATAGCTCAAAAATTAAGATGGCAATGCTAAGAATTTTTAATATAGTAATTTGTATGTATGTTATTTTGGTCCTGGCAAATTTGATATTCACCGGCACCGCACTACTCAGGTTAAAAAAAAATTAAAACTTACCGCGACCGCCCAATCAGTATTCGGTTTGTGTTTACCGTTCGCGCGCCGAATTGATCCGGTTTTTGTTGCTAGTTGGTTTTCATTCATTTCAACCGGTTATAATAGGAATTCGCATTAATTGATATTCGTTATTGTTCTCGTTCGGTTGCGGGTTCCCTTTTAATTAATTTTTAAATTTTCGTTTCTGTTTCAGCACCTCAAAATTGATTCGGTTTGAAATATTGTATTTTAAGTGTATCTACTTTATTGAAAGTGCTATCATTGTCGTTTGTAGGCAGGAGTATGAAGACGGGATAATGAAGAAATGATTTTTGTAAAATTATTTCATTAAATTTCTTACTGTCAACAAAACAATTACGTGAGGAATATATTCTTATTTTTTGAATTTTTTGTATGTTACAACAAGTTTAAGTTCCTTATCGTAAAAACTTAATTCATCCGTACTACTAATATTTGGTATTTAAATTCCTCTACCCTCCGTCATAATTTCTATTTTATAATAACGAATCAACTAATCAATTGTGTTGTAAATACGTTTTTTCGACTTTCGAACTCGAATACGCTACTTCTTCGCGGCTGAAATAGGCAGGGTGGTAGTAACTACATACGCGGACTCATGAGATGCTCTACCACCAGTAATTACGCAAATTATACCTGTTATGGGTTTATTTTTATTCCACGATATAATTAAATAAGTTGTCGTGAAGGTCAGTTGTGAACATTTTTTTAATATTTTTTTTTGCCTTTATGGGTGGACGAGCTCACAGCCCACCTGATGTTAAGTGGTTACTGGAGCCCATAGAGATCTACAACATAAATGCGCCACCCACCTTGAGATATAAGTTCCAAGGTCTCAAGTACAGTTACAACGGCTGCCCCACCCTTCAAACCGAAACGCATTACTGCTTCACGGCAGAAATAGGCAGGGCGGTGGTACCTATCCGCACGGACTCACAAGAGGTCATACCACGTGTGCTAAGTACGTAATTCATTATAAAAAATGGTGCCTGCCTGTGGGATTTGAACACCAGTATAATCGCATCGTTCGCAAAACCGTAACCACAGATTACTTTCACACTATTGTTTACGTTAACCGGATATCCGGGTGGGATCGATGTGTTTATCTTCACCCGCTTCGGACGCCATGCGCATATTATAAACGGCTCCCGTGTATTAATCCGGGTATACGGAAGGTTTGTTTGTCATGTCTTTATTCAACGTGCTTTCCATATTTCCATATTCGAACCTCATTGCGTCTATAGGTCGCAATATAGGTTAGCAGTGTCGGAAGTGTAGACGAACTGGAGGGCTTAAGGTAGGAGATGAGGCGTATTGTGAAGCAATCACGTTAAGTCGTCGTGGCCTATAGGATAAGAGGTCCGGTGCATTCATATCTAGCGATGCACCGGTGTTCGAATCCCGCGGGCGGGTACCAATTTTTCTAATGGAATACGTACTCAACAAATTTTCACGATTGACTTCCACGGTGAAGGAATAGCATCGTGTAATAAAAATCAAACCCGCAAAATTATAATTTGCGTAATTACTAGTAGTAAGACCTTTTGTGAGTCCGCACGGGCAGGTACCACCGCCCCGTGTTGAAATAATTTTAAATTTGGCGCCTTGACACTCAATGTGAATATGAGATGATATAATATAATCTATGACACTACTTCTCTCTCTACTCCGTGACATCCACCGCATTGTATTCTCATCTTTATTAAATATTAAATAAATACAAAGTATAACTGTGTATAACTTAGTGTTATTTATATAATCTAACAGGTTATGGGCCCAGTAAAGCCTACAAATAATAAAAGTGCTAAATAAACTTTAAAATCAGTGATAGACAGTTTTGCAGTGAACATAACCTCTCAATAAGAAGCCGGCATATTGTTTTTTTTTAACTAAAATCCACCGAATATCATTATCAATCACAATGAATAATCAAATGGCATTAATTGAAAAGCTATCAGGCCGTGATAACTTTGCAACTTGGCGATTTGCAATGCAAACATACTTGCAACACGAGGAGCTGTGGGATTGTATAGAAGATGAGGTAAAAGATACAAAACGAGATATTAAAGCAAAAACAAAGATT